TGCACTACGACGCCGTGAGGGTCACGGTGGTGGCCTACTTTGTAGAAGGGTCAGTGTGCCTTTTCCACAAAACGGGAGAAATGGCAGGGATCGTAGTGGAATACGGATGCACCAGTGAAGGTTTGTGGGCCATCAAAGAGTTAGAAAGGGCTAACGTAGGGGGTTACTATATTTTTAATGTGACTAAGGACCATCGAGTTGTGGCGGGGCTGCCTCGTCGACGGTGGGGCGGAGTTGTGTTGAATACGCCTGATGCAAGCAACTATGAGGGGTGGAAGAAACAACGTAATGCGTTTAACATTTTTGTGAACGGCTACGATGCACGAGAGATGAAGGCGTTCTTTGCGTGGCAGGAGCGTGATTTGCTACGTGGCTTGCAGGGAAGCGGTGAGGGTAGAGCAGAGCTTGAGGGGATGTGGCAGAGGATGAAGGACCGTATTTGTGTGCTTGGACCGCTCCCTCGCCACGTTTTTGATGAGAACAATTACTCAGGGCGCCGTATCGCAATTAAAACTGCGCTGTCCAACACGCCTGACGCAGACTTGGTGCGCCTTGCAAAAAAGGTGTTTGGCAAGGCTGAGTGGGGCGAGGACGGGACCGCGGACAAGCTGATCAAGGTGCTGCGTGTGTTGAGGAGGAGCGCGTGGTGAGGGATGCGTCGGTGGTGGTGAGGCCCAATGTGGGGAATGGAGGGGACGCAGAAGGCTGCAGGAATTTTTCCGTTTCACTTGAGGTCAAAAAGAACATTGCGGAGGCGGGTGCTAATGAAGAACTTTAAAATGTCCCGCCTGCTGTCTGTTGTGGGAACGTGGAGTCCGTCTACTGCTGATGATATTGAGTGCTTGGGCTGCGTGGCGTTTCTGATTGGCGACGTCGCTGAAGCGGTTGCTCGCCAGATGAAGCACCTTTCCCGCAGCGAGGGAGGAACGCGGGCCAGCGTGTTGGCGAACAGGCATGCGGTGGGCCGCTTTCCAAGGGACCCCTGCGTGGTCGGATGCATGGCAGGTGGAGATAATAGAAGAGTAATAATCCAGACTGAACTTCAAGCCGGCGTTCTGTATATGCTCAGCAAGGGTTTTGTCACCGTGCTGGACGCGTTCTACGTGGCCGAGGTGCAACGAGCGCAAACGGCCAAGAAAAAAATTAAATCTGGGCGGTCCCGAAATGCTGGCGCCGATGGGCACAGCGGTGCGGAGAAAGAAGTGACGTTCATCGGGCTGCGGGTGGCAAAACACAACACCTACCACACCACTGCCGGTAAGGTGGCTGCGTTTCTGAATTACATGACGTGCAACTTCAAGGGCTGGGAGGCGCTGAGGGAAAAGATGAAGTGGGAGATCATTTACATCCAGCACGCTGAGAGCACGCTGATGACGGGAAGGCAGGATTGCCATATCACGGAGGGATAAAAGGAAATGCCAGGACTTCAGGTTGCCAGAGACTTTTGGGAGAGAAGGGTGGAGCAGTACCAGGTGCAGCTTGACACGGAGCTGGCTGCCTAGCTGGTTGTTGCTGCCAGCAAAGGCCG